TGATCAACATACGGCAAAAGTGCAAAAACTGAAGAGTAGTAAGAAAACCTACATGAGAAGGGCACAAGAAAAGCCCAGACTTTCAGTCTGTAGAGGAACTGTTATTAAACATATGACCATTGCTGGCGACACCAACCAATGCTGAGTCACTTCTTACTGAATGGCAAACTGGTAAGAATGGAGCTAGACACTGGAACTGCAGTTTCATTGATACCTGGAAGTGCATATCAGAAGTAGCTGAGTCACTTTGCACTGCAACCCTCAAAAATTGTACTAAGAATGTACACAAGCAAAAGGGGTTGCTCCTATGATGCTGCTTGGCCTGCTGTTTTCATTCAGCTCTGTACCTTGATGTCTCGGATTCTCCAGCATCTGCAGTTCCTACTATCGCATGACAATGTGAATGTTCAGTTGTACAGTCAGATTGAAGATTTCTCCTCACACATTGTCAAAGGACAACTTCCAGCTTAATTGGGAAGAGCACAGTTGCATAGTGCACTAATATTAAAGCAGACCTGAGAACAATATAACATGCTTCAATGAAAGTGCTTAATTTTGTCATACAGCCGGAAAATAAGAGCTATCAATTCTGTCAACTGAATATCCAAGCTCCATTAAATCCCAGCAAGTATCAACTGTCAGTATGGGATCATTAACGGTACAAAATACCAAACAAAGTACTTGAAATCAAGCAACCTCAAGATTTTAAAAAAAATCGTTAATGCACCATTTTCTCAATCTTTAATTCACATCAAGGAAACGTTTTTGAAGGAAGGAATTATATTTATTGCATATGGAGACCTATTTAATTATAAACTAGACTCCACGCTGCGTTTTCCATTGAGCCAGCAGAGACTTTTGGACAAATACAAAGTAAACTATAACTCGACTGGAATCAATCAGGAATTTTAAAAAAGTTATAATGGCATTAACAGTGATTGCTAATGCATTCACAATATATTTTACTATGATACATTAAAATGCAAATATAGTTAAATAATATGTCCTTAAGAAATATCATTTGGAACTGCCGCCCTCCCATTTGTTTATTTAACACAATCCACACTCTCCCCCATGTTTTCACTCAAATAAATGGGGAATACTGTAGATGCGAGGAAAACAGTAAATTTTGGAGAGTCTCAGCAGGAGACAGCAACAGAGTTAATGTTCTGATGAAGAATCATACAGGACTCGAAACATGAACTCTGTCCCTGATTTGTTGGATTTGTTTGTTTTCCTTTCTCTCGTTCACAAATGCTACCACAGCTGAGAAATTCCAGTCCTTTTTCTCTAGCATGGCTGGCTCTCCCTTTAAAGGGACAAGTTTCCTTTGCGAAAACCTCACAGGAGGCGCGGCTCAGAGCCCCGCCCCTCTCTCCCCATTGGTCAGACGCGTTCCATTTTGAAAAAGGCTCCTCCCTTGGCAACTGCGGATTAGCAACGCATCCTGGCGGCGTTCTGATTGGCCAGCGCTGGGCAGCCTGCAGCCAATAGTGGAAAACTAGAGGCTATGCCGCACTTTTCAAAAAAAAAGGTGAGTGGGACTAGGAGAGCAAGAGCGGGTGGTGTATGTGGGGAAAGGAGTTATTTACTGTCTATTACCCACCAACCTACACCTTGAACAGAGCACGGGCAATAGTGCTGTCCTATACTTACAGGAAGGCTCCGTTCTCAACTCTCTGCATTACAGTCTCCCATCCAGTCTGGTGATTTCAATCAGTCTCGCTCTCAAAAGGTTGGAGGTTCAGCAGGTTAGTGAATTCTACTGCTCCTTTCTCTCGGTTTCGTTGCATTAGCAATGATGCACTTGTTGCAAATTTCTTACTGTATGTGGATCCAATATTCCCTCTCTCTTTCCTCCTCC